GGGAGAGGGGAGAGAGGGACCGAGAGAGGGGGGAGAGAGGGAGGGAGGGGGAAAGAGAGGGAGGGAGGGGGAAGGGGAGGGAGGGGCAAGGGGAGGGGCTCAGGCCTCGGGGAAGGGCCACACCTGTCAGGTAGCAGAGCTCGGGGATGAGCATGGCTGGTCCGGGCATGGTGCCACCAGGGCCCCGCCTCCTCTTGGGCTGGCTCACCAGGACCGGCTGCTTCAGGTCGGTGATCTCCTGGTTATACTGCTGCTCGGGGGAGGGGAGGGCCCTGCTCACCCAAAGGCCAGGGCCTCGTGACAGTGACAGCCCTCAGTGTTGACGGTGGAAGTCACCAGCAGTGCTAGCCCCACACACCATGCCAAGGCACAGCTTGGGTCACCAAGAGCCCCTTCTTATCACCCCCTGTGGCCCAGGGACATCTTTCACATCTTGCACAATTTGGGCCGAGGGCCACCAGCCTGGGCCACTGCTCCATGCTGGGCTCCCCCCATGGCACAGCCTGGGAGGGAGCGAACCACAACGGTGCTGGCTGACTCCCACTGTCTCCTGCTGGGCCAACAGCCAGGAAGCAGCAGCTTTCTCACTCAGATGGGGGCGGCCCAGGAAGGGCACAGGCAGGGCACACGAAGCTGGCACCACAGACCTGCCTCAGCCCCTCTAGGGCCTTCGCTGGCTGGGGCAGAGCCTCTGTGCTTGTGCCCCCATCCAGCCGCATGCCGATGCCTGCTGATGTCTGGCTCCTCACAGCACTGGCTGCCTGCTCACCTGCGCTTCCCAGGTCTCATCCTTAATCCCAAAGCTGTGCTCACTACCCATGCTGCTGTCACCACAGGGCCAAAGGTGCCCGCCCCTTTGGGAAGGGCTTTCGTGCAGACCCCAGTGCCTGGGGGCCAGTGAAGGGAGCCAGGGTTGGGAACAGTGTGCACACTGGCCCGGGAGCAGCCCAGCTGTGGACTGGCTGGAAGCCGGGGACCCATCTAGGGCCCGCCTTGCCAACGCCTGCATGGCTGGACCGGCAAAAGGGAAGCACTAGCTGCACAGTGCGGAGGGGCCGGCAGCAGGAGCTGCTTCATGCCTCGCCCACCCTCGGTGCGGAAAGCCACCCAGGCCCCACGTGACCTCCATGGCGCAGGATGGACTCCTACCTTCCGGTAGTACTCCAGGAAGCTGACCTCAGAGCCATCTGCCTTCTTAAAGGTGCTCTTGGGGTTCTGGTCCCAGTCGATGTCGTCTACCCGGTATGTCTTGTTGTTGTACCTGTGGGACTGGTATGGTCAGCTGGTGCCCAGCCGGTACGCAAGGAGATGTCAACCAGGACAGGCAACGTGGTGCTTAGCACCATCTCCCCACAGGCAGGAAGAGCCAGGCTGCGAGGGGGTGTGCCCAGCTGACTGCAGGGAACGAAAAGGAGGCACCAGCTGGCTGCCCGGCACATCACGTGAGTGCCTCCCTCCCTCCGCCAGCCGCCGCCAGGGCGCACAGCCTTACTTGGTAAGGACAATTAGCCCTATCAGCTCCTTGGCCACTTGTTCCTGGAACTTGTGCTCCTCGGCCTGGTGGTACAGGTTGAACATGAAGTCCAGCACGGTCTCGCTGCGCAGCACCTTGTGGCTGACGTCCGTGCACAGCATGATGTTGTTCTCGTACTGCAGGATGGAGGTGGTGAAGCCGGGCCAGATCACCAACCTGCAGGGAGAGGCGGCTCAGCGGTGCTCCGCCCGCCCGCCGGCAGGCAGGGTCCTGGCCCTCCTTGCTGCTAGGTTTCCAGCGCTTCCTGGTGGAGACCCGGCTCTGATGATGTGTTACAAGGGCGACGACCACCTACAACGTGTACTAGTCGTCACCAACGAGAACTGGGTGAGGGAGACTGCTAACTGCACTGGCTCGATGCCAGCTTTTTGGTTTTTGAGACAAGGGTCTTGCTGTGCAGTTCAGGCTGCCCTGGAACTCCAGTGATCCTCCTGCCTCTGGAATGCTGGGGTTACAGGCGTGCACTGCCACACCCACGCGCCCGGTCTTTTTGGAGCCTACACTTGACTGCACTGTTCTCTGTGGCCCCAGCAGCTCACGGTGCTCACCCAAGAGTGACGCGCAGACCTGGGGCTGGGCAGGGTCTGTGCTCCATGACCCACATCACGGTGTCCCTGAGGGAGGCAGGGCCCACATGCACCAGGGTCACCCACTCTGCGCCACAGGTGCTTGAGATGCTCTACAGACCTGTGATTTGGAATGTCAATCGGGTCATGTGGGTTGTAGTAATTCCGTCCAATCTGTTGCAAATTCATGATCTTCAGGAGCCTGGAAATTGAGTCAGACAGTCAGAGCGGTGAATGCCAACAACATCTCACCCGACCCACGGAAGGTCGTGTGGCTCCGGCTGAGTGGGGAGCCGCTGTCTTCAGGTGGCCTGTGACCTCACAAGGTTTTCAAAGTTCTTAAAGCATGTGATGGTTGTCGCAGACACGTGAAGCATGTGGAATCAGGCTCCACATCCGGTGTCGTGCAGTGTGACTGGAACAGTGGGCAGCGGGGCGCACAGCAGCGGCGTGGGCGCCTGAGGCCCTGTGTGGGGAGGCCGGCCACCCCTTCATGCAGAGAACAATGGCCCCACCAGCGTTTACTACAAAGGGACAGTGACCCATCAGGACTCAAGGGAGTTTCACACACAAGCAGACCGGGTTCCTTCTGCCGCCGTGCCCCCGGGAGGGGACAGAGCACTCTGGACAGCGTGGCCTGCATGCTGCAATCCAGCCACTCCACCTGCAGTGGCATCCTGTGATGGGGTACAGTTTGGCACTGGAGGCGGGGAGCCAGGGAGAAGAAGGTTCCCAGCATAAGCTCAGATGACGCGAAAACCTCAGGTCAACGTGTATGGGGAAGTTATGGACAGGACAGCAAGACTGAGGTGGAGCGCTACACCAGTAAACCGCCCGAGAGCTACAGGTCAGGACGCCCCGCGATCCGAACTTGGGCGACAGGTGTACCGCTAGTGCCTGTTCAGTTTTTTTTCAGAACCAGGGATTAAACTCAGGCCCCTTGCGCTTGCCAGGGAAGCGCTTTCTCTACTGAGCCATCTCCCTGCCCCCTGTAAGCTTTCTCTTTCCCTGGGGTGCTGGGGAGCAGATCCAGGGCCTCCCCTACCGCCCAGGTGCAGCCCTGCGCTCAACGCCCTGCAGGGGGCGCACCTCCGGAAGATGATGTTGTAGAACTGCAGGCAGGTGGGTGATGTCGGTGGGAGCTCGTTGGTCAGCGCGATCGTTATCCTCACGCGTTCCCCGTTCCGCGTCTGGCTGAACACTTCCGTGACCTGAAGCCAGAAAGGCGGGACCCGGCCTTCAGCTCTGAGGGGCCAACTGCGCCACCACCGAGGACGGCCACGGACAGGCCCCACCCCAAGCCCGGCTCAGACGGACTCTCTGAAAGGAGCCACGGGAGAGAGGCAAAGACCCCTCATCGTAGAACAGCCGCGGTCCTTCAGTGTCTCTAAGACACAGGAGGACAAGGTGATGGCACCGGGTCTCGGGCTAGTTACAAGTTCCCCAGAGCCCAGGTGACCCCGAGAGCAGCCCCACTTCCCCCTCCGCCCAGACGTGTGAAATAACCTTGAGCTGTAGTCGCTTAGGTAAAAATAAGATTGTTCCATCAAAAGCGTGACACCTTCCAATGAGATCTTCGTGCTGGAAGAGCAGCGCCGAGCGGAGGCGGCGGGCTTCCATCAGCGGGTTGTAGTCCACGTGGTACTGGTACAGGGCCCACTGGGGGCGGGACGTCAGCCGGAAGTGGTTGGTGCTCAGCCTCACGATGATGCCCGACGAGCCTACGGGGCGGGGCAGGCCAGCTCAGCGCCTTCCCGGGAGCGAGCCAGCAGAGCTGGGGACGCCCGTCTGCACCCAAGTTCCCAGACCCTGGCTTTGGGAACCACACACCCATCTCTCCGGCAGAGGTCAAGAATCTGGCAAACAGCTCGTCACTGCACCGTGCCACGTGCACCCACCAGCCCTGCTCCGTGTATGAGGGCTGTGGGCAGTGTCCACTCAACAACTTCAAGTGGGGCAAAGACAACAGCTTCGAACTCAGAGCTTCGTGGGGGGGGCACACAGAAAGCCCAGCTGCCTCCCCCACGCATAATGCGCCCCTGAACAAAAGGACAGATAAGCACTTTCTGAGCACTCACAGGTGACCCCCAAAGTGGAACTGCTAGTCAACTCACCAGTTTTGGACTCTTTGACATGGTCTAAGTTCTTCCTCGTGTTCACACCGAGATCGTGAAAGTCCCTACGGCGCCCTCCTCTGTCTGCCAGTGACAGCTCCTGAAACCCAGCAGATATCTGGAGTTCTTAAACACAAAGAGAAAAGCAGCTCATGCGCCGGGGCAGCACCAGTCAGCCTGAAAAAGCGATTCCCACGGGACCACGAGACAGCCCAGAGGACCCCCAGGTAACGCACAGTGGCCCCATCCCACTCTCTACACCCTCGGGCGAGGCAGCCAGGGAGCAGGGTCCGAGGCTCTGTGTCCTCACGGGGCCCTCAGCAGACTCAGTGGCCCTTGCACCTCTGTGGTCTCTCACAGGGCTCTGGCCAGGGACGGGGGCACGCCTGGGGCTGGGACAGGCTGCTCTGCTCTCTATACCCGGGCATTAACTGTCACTTTCCACAGTGTGTCATCTTGCAGCTTAGCCCACAGGGCATGGAAGCTTAGAGGGCTTAAATCTACAACCTGGATCAGAAACCTTAAATCTCACGGAGCCCCTCAAAACCCAGCAGCGTGGGCGCAGGCACCTGCGTGCACCTTGTGGCTATCATACGCCTGTCACCTGGCAACAGGTGCAGGTATTGCTATATCAGGTCTGGCTTAGTTCCAACAGCTGAGGCAATAAAAACCGAACAGACAAGGTGTGCAGAAGGCACGCACTTGGCGTCTGTGAAAGGCACTCCTTGGGGTGCAGTTCCTGTGCTGCCAAATCGGGGCTCTAAAAGTGACTTATTGGAGCTTAAAGGCCAACTGGTAGCTGATCTGGCTCCATTGCTTTGCCGTGGCTTCTGTGGTTCCTGGCACACAGGGGTTCTCAGGGACAAAGAAATGCTACCCCACCTACACCGCAGCCACTCCTCCTCCCAGCACCCTTCTTCACCTTGTGACTTGGCTGTGGCCCCTGCTGCTCCTCTCTGTCGTCCTCGGCCGAACAACTCCCCCTCTGTCAAGGGCTGCGGCAATCTCGGCTGGGGGTACCCAGGCTGCTGACCCTGGCCACACACACAAATACTGAAGGCCATAACCAAAGAAAAGAATCCTCAACCACTTTAACCACCACCTACCAGTGACCAAATACTTTATTCTTAAAAGATAAATCTGCCCCCAAGAAGCCCCAGACAGGGGACCCACTGGACAAGCTGACCTCTGAGCTGCTGAGGGCCGGTGGTGCTCACCAAGGGTGCCCCAATGCGCTGCGCGGTGTCCTGGCCGCGGGCCCGACCTCGGGCCCTGGCGCGGGCCCGTCCCGTCATCTTCTGTCCCCCTGAAGGCAGCAACTGCGAAAGCAGCGCTCAGTGCGCTCGCCCCGATTAGCCCCTGGGCCACCAGGTCTCCCTGGAACACGGCACCTCAGGACCACCTTCCTGGCCCCCGACGGCGCGCCCTCCCCTCTGCCCGGCGCTCACGGCCACACTCGCGGCCCTGCACCGCCCACAGGCGAGGCTGGCTCCGCGCACCCCGCACCCCGTCCCGGCCTCCCGTCCCGGCCCGGACCCCTCCTCCCGGCGGGCGGGTGGGCGTGCACGCACAGGCCCAGGCGGGGCTGGAGCGGCGGGCGCGTCTCAGCGTCCTGGTCCCGGTGTCGCCGGCCGCCGGCCTGGTCCTCCGCGCGCAGAGCGGGTCCCGGCACGCCCGGCACCCCAACGGCCTCAACGGCGGTCCCGCAGGTGCCCTGGCCGTGGCAACGCCTCCGCGCGGTCCCACGTGAGCCCCGCCGCAACAGCCTCCGCGCCGCCCTCTGATTGGCTGTTGTGTTTCTGCGGGGCGGCCAGCTTGGGGTCGTCTGCCCTTAGCCCCGCCCCTAGCCCCCGTGGCCGTGCCCACGAGCGGAGGGGCTTCGGTTGCTTCCCTGTGGAACGTTCGCTCCAGCGTGCGTGCTGTTTCATCCATCAGAAACGTGAGGTTTGAAATCCGTCCCCCACAAGAAAATAAAACTGCCATTAAGGCCGGGACGCCAGGCAGCTGCAGACCTGCAAACCTGGCCGTCAACCCACGCACGTCCGGGTGCGTGCAGGCCCACGTGCAGGACAGGGCCGCCTCGCGAGCCTCCCCGCCTCCCCAGGTGGGCCCTGCCAAGAGCTGCTTCCACATTGGGGTAAAGCCAGTGTAAATAATAGGTACAATGTAACAGGCTAATTGGTCACACCGGAAACTGAGAGGACACTAACGATCTGACTGGGCGCTTTCCCGAGCTGGGACGGGACTTGGTGCTTACTGTGTGGGGATTGCTTCTTCGAAGTGCTTGGCATCACGGGGGTCCCGGATGTCAGGTCTTTCGCAATTTGGCAGTATTTGCATGTTGGGCATGGCACCTAAATCTAAATACGAAATTCGTTGTATGGTGCATACGTAGACCCATAACCCGAAAGTGACGTAAGCAGTGTTTTTAAAGCACCTGCCGTCTGGCGGGGCTGTCGCTGCGATCAGATGTGAGGGCCTCACTCGTGGCAGAGGGGTTCCCCAGCCCTAGATTCCTGGTACGATCTTAGCGTCCCCCACATTAGTCTGAGGTAAACCCACCAGCGCATTCCCCGAACCAGATAACGCTGACTCGGTAGGCGTGTGAGGGCGCAGGGCATTTTCTTTTAAAAAGCGATGCGAGTAATTCTTAGGTTCAAAGAGCTGTAGTAAAGCCGCAAGATCGGGGCAAGATGTGAGGCCCCGGCGTCTCTTCCACTTAAATGGCTGATGAGCAAAGACAAGGACTTGGAAGGAGAAACAGTTTGAAAGTGTTTTTGCAGTGTTTGCACTTTTCCGTGAGGACGAGACATTGTGGAGTGCCTTCGAAGGTGAACTCTTCCACTTGGGCGAGGAAGGTGCTCCCCGAACTTACCAGCAGAGGGAGCAATGACACAAGAAACTGGTGCTCGCGGCTGCGTTGCAGACTGCCGCGGAGGAATTCTCACCGCGCTGGCTTTCTAGACCTTAAGGATTTGCTGCCGCTGTGGCTACCTGGAGCAGCGAGCAAGCGAACAAGTCTGTGTGTGACCTCGAGCCCAGAGTGACTGGGGGAAAGTGGTCTCAAATTTGCCTGCACCCCGCAGGAACCTTGGTGTCGTCTGCTACTGGACACAGCTGGGAGTTGTGGAGGAACAGTCTTCGGGAGGCTGCAGTCCTGGACTGGAGGGGTGGGGGGCAGACGCCCTAGGGGTCTTGCAGGGCGTTTACAGGGATGGGGGTGCTGGTGTTGACACCAGAGAGACCCGGCTCTAGACTCCACAATGAACAGAATGTGCAGACTGCCAGACCAGCCCCTTCGGTGTGTCCAGCGCTGTCCTCTGGGGCAGCCGCAGGTGAAGGGCCGGGGCAGAGGGAGCTGAGAGCTGCAAGCGACAGCAGCATCCCAACTGGTCCAGGTTTGCTGGGCTCCTGTTATTTCGTGATTTTGATTGAGGTGTGAGTGGGTCAGTCCGCGGTCCCTGCCTCCACCCTCACTCCAGCCTTGCCCCGGGCAGTCGCTCCCCTCCCACCTGCCCTCCTCAGGTGCCTCTCTGCTTCCTGCCTGCCGGCCTTGGGCACATGCATCCTGCCCTGCTCACCTAACCCCTCTTCTTCGCGCCGCTGCCACAAGGCCTCCGCCTCTCAGCTCCCGCCAACCTTGCTCTCGCTGGAGGTGTCCAGCCCTTAGCCAGAGGCAGCCCGCGCCCGCCTTTTGGTCTGGCCTCCTCACTCCTCGGGTTGTTTCTACTACATGTGCCAGTGTCCTTGCACATCAACACATCCAGCCAGCCCCGCCTTCAAAATGTGGGAGAGCCAGGCTGTGTGCTGTGTTCACTTAAGCATTCTCAAGATCGATAAGGGGTGAGGGTGCCCGTGTCACTGGACCCACGACTGGGGCCTCCGCAGACAGCATATTATTCAACCTCGAAAGGGGAGGGGGTGGGATTTGGCCCCCAGGACCTAGGACTCGAGGGTTGGCGCTGAGGGTGGCAGACGCAGCCAAAAAGTGCGGTAGGCCCACTTTCCTGAAAAACAAAACACCGGAGAAGCGGGACTCCCTGGAACAGAGTAGGGTGGGGGATGGCAGTGGCCAGTGGCCATGGCCTGAGCAGAGTGGAGTCAGGGTGATGACAGCCAGGGCCGGGGGACAGTTTGAGATGAAAAGATTGCGTGTGATTCCACCCTGCCGGCCTCTGCGAGCACAAGTAGAGATGGTGAGGGGCAAACTTTATCTCACCCGTGGTTTACCATGACCAAAAAAATATCACACAAAGCCCAAACCACAAAAAATGAAACAAAGTGGCTCTGTCTCCGTTCCTTCCTCTCCACCTTCTAGGAAGATCAGCGTTTTAACTCCCTCCTCCCACTGCCAGCCCTCCTTTCCTCTGTGGGCAGAGACCACCTGAGTCTGCAGAGTCCCTGTTGCCCACCTGCCAGCTGCACCTCGGCCGCCTGCTCCTGCCTCTGCTGTCCTCCTGTCCCGGGCACTGGAGCCCCCAGCAGAGGAGGTCCCCAAAGTGCAGCCCCACATCCTGGCCCCTCCCTCTGAGCTGCAGCTGGGGCAGGCCAAGGAGGTGCCTGCTGCAGATGGGCCGCAGGTGGGGTGCAGGTGACCCGGATCTTCGTCCTGGGAGCCTGGAGCAGAGGCCACACCTGCCTGCCTCCTCCTTACCTCTTGGGCAGGCTCAGTCCCCACTGAGACTTCCGGCACCTGTGTTAGCACGGTGGCCTGAGGTCTGCACCTGCCTGTCCGTGTCCCGGAGCCTGTGTTGTTCAGGGGCTGTGGGGAACTAGGTCTTCGCACAGGAGCGCCGTTTCTCTGACTTCTCTACCCATGCTTTGTCAAGGCTGCAGTGTGGAGCTGCGGGTCTGACTGTGTTTAGGATGTGGGGGACCCTGGTGCCCCTTGGTCCCTGGGGCTCCTAAGTATATCCAGGTAGAGGGGGAGCCGCCTGGTGCAGGGCTGGCCTGCTGGCAGCCTGCTGGTTGCAGGTCAGTGGGGGAGGACGAGTCCTGTGGGACTCAGACGTGTGGGGGATGCATTGCGTGTGCAGCTTTTGCACGTTTAGCCCGCATTGCACGTGAACCCCCCCCCCCACCCCTCACACGCTCTTCAGTGTAGACACAAAATAATATGAGCGCTGTAAAAGGCAGCTTTGGGATAAGTCGGGTCCAGAGCAGAAACGAAATTCATAATTTAGCTAACAGTTTGGACAAACACAAAGCCTGGGGGTATGTGTTTTGAGGTACTAGCGACCCTAAAATTAGGGAACTTCTGTATTTATCCACCACTGGTTGATCTCCAGTCTGGACAGAGCTACATCTCCACCTCTACCCAGGTTGGCTTATGTTAGAAGAAACTGTCCCGGCGCTTCCGAATCTGTGATGTGCAAAGGGTACATTGGGCTTTGAAAAGTGCCATTTTCAAAATAAAGTTCACATTATCCTAAGCAGCAGCAGCACTGAAGTCACATCTATGTAATTGCATTTGTGGGTGGAAATTTCCATTACTCCCTGTGTTTGCTAGCACAAGAGTCCTGGGTTTCCAGTTTGTGTCTGGTGTGTAGTCTTGTGGCCCTCGTGGCCAGCCCAGCTGGACCAAGAAAGCAGGATTCTGGTGGGGAGGCACTGCACCTGAGCTCTGCTGCTCCGCAGTTATCTGATGGCTTTGAAATCTCACCATCCTGTTACTTAAATACAAAGAGAAAAAATAAGATTCTTGCATTTTGTCTGCTACAAAATCACAGCCAACTATGCCAAGTGCTGGACAGGAAGGGCCACTGTCCGCGGTGGGAGCTTTGCTCCTGTGTGAGCAGTGGGTACCTTAGGTTGGCATCATCTTTCAGAGGTCTGTGTGTGTGTGTGTGCAAGGGACTGGGCCATGAGGCATTGTACGCATCAGCGGACTCTCCTGTGGGTGCATTCGTGGCTGAGTAAGCCTGCTCGGGGATGGCCACTGGGGTGGCCTAGGACTGTGTGCTCTTGTTCCCAGACCCTTCCACCAGGCTAGTTCTGCTGTGGACCCAGCTGGCCATGGACCAAACCCAGTGGACACTGCGAGCCGGTAACTAGCTAGCGACCGATCGATCGATTGACCGACCGACTGACCACACTGTACCATACTGTATCTTTTTCTTTCTTTCTATTTGGTACCAAGGACTGAACTCAGGACCTTGCTCTTGCCAGGCGGGCGCTTGTGCTGCTGAGCTATATCCCCAGCCCTTCTCCTTTAAGTTGCAGGTACTGGGTGTCACGGCCTAGCAACAGGACAGCTGCTGAATACCAGGTGGCGGGGGGGGGGGCAGCCTCTGGGGTGTAGAGCGCAGCAGGAGCTCCACCTTGAGGGAGGTGGGCAGAGCAGTGCTCTGTGACCTTTGGGATGTGGATACTGGGGACCTGGTTTTAGAAACATGCTTGCTGCATGCACCTCACTCCCTAAGCTCAGCAGGGTGTTCAGCACCTTCTGCACCCCCGCTGCTGGACCCTGGCCATGGCTGGACTTGCCATGCTGAGCAGATGGGGGCCTAGTGTGCAGCCTGGACTCGGGCACCGTGAGCCTTTCGTGGAGGGGAGTGGGTGAGGGGTGCCCGTGGCAGCAGGTCCTCGTGGTTGTCTGGGCGCTCCTTAGCCTGGGTGCGCTGGGCCCGGGTCCACACAGGTGGCTTGTGTTAAGCCTGGAAGGGACCGG